CATCAAGGTCTCTCATTGCGGTATCTGTGGTTCCGATCTTCACACTCTACACAGCGGATGGGTAAGTCCTTTCGCTATCTTCTTAGTGTTGTGTTCTGTTTTTCATCTTGCGCCAATTGTGCCTATGCTAGCTGCCATGTCCCATGAATACTGATCCGCACAACAACAGAAGCCAACCCTTTACCCCTGCTGTGTCGGTCACGAGATCGTCGGTGTCGCCGTGCGCGTCGGCTCCCAGGTCAGCGACATCAAGCTCGGGGACCGCGTCGGCGTCGGCGCGCAGAGCGATTCCTGCCAGGGCCGTCTCGGCGACTGCGCCGAGTGCGCCATGGGCTGGGAGCAGTACTGCCCCCACAAGTGGGTGGGCACCTACAACAGCGTCCACCTCAACGGCGGCAAGTCCTACGGCGGCTATGCGCGGTACAACCGCGTCCCCGCCCGCTTCGCCATCAAGATCCCTGACGGCATCCCCTCTGCCGAGGCCGCTCCCATGCTGTGCGGTGGTGTCACCCTCTACAGCCCGCTGAAGCACAACGGCTGTGGCCCCGGCAAGCGCGTCGGCATCATCGGCGTCGGCGGCCTGGGCCACTTTGGCGTCATGTTCGCCAAGGCGATGGGCGCCGACAAGGTGGTCGCGATCTCGCGCAAGGCGGGCAAGGCGGCCGATGCCTTGAAGATGGGCGCCGATCTGTACATCGCTACGGACGATGAGCCCGATTGGGCTACCAAGTACGCCAAGTCATTGGATCTGATCGTCTCGACTGTTTCGTCCACGAAGGTATTTTCCTCAGTTTTCATCTCCTATCGGGTTGATATGAAGTAAGTTCCTAATGCCCGTCGTGTACAGATGCCCATGGAACAGTACGTCGGCCTGCTGGCGGTCAATGGTACTCTGTGCCAGGTCGGTTTGCCGGAGGATGGCACCCTGTTGGCGCCCGTTAAGCCTCTGATCCGTCGGTTGAAGGTAACCAGCTCGTTGGTGGGTAGCCCTGATGAGATCCGCGAGATGTTCCAGCTGGTCTTGGACAAGGGCGTCAAGCCTTGGATCGAGGAGATCCCGATGAAGAATGCCAACGAGGCCATTGTCAACATGCATGCCGGTAAGGCCAGGTACCGCTACGTGTTGGTCAACGAGGAGCACTAGACGGACAGGGCTTGGTGATGAGGATGAGTTATGACGAATGTATAGACTGTATAATGTATTAGTAGTGAGGTACACATAGATGAACCTGCAGTGTTGCTAGGGAGTCTAGTACGTACTCGTAATAGGCCCGTCTTGGCTGCGGCCGGTTTGGCTTACAATCTACATACTCCAATAGGCACGGCACGTGATGGCCTCCGCCATCGGAGCCACTAAGCCCAAAGCAGCAGGCAACCCCTCCGAATTTCTTCTTTGGGCGAGTGAATCATCGCCTCTTGTCTCTTGTCTTCGCCCCCCTCACTCACTCTCGCTCTCTTCATATTCCTCTGTTTTGTCGCTGGTATTCTTGTCGGAAGAGGCGTTGACTCGCAATTGAGTGTCTTCTTTGTCATATCTCTCTTCTTTTCCCCCCCATCAATCATACTTCCAGTCACCATGTCGCATACTCTGTCGCAAAAATATTTGAGCACGCGGGGTGCCTCCTACGGAGTATGGCAACAAACCCTCTAAGAAAGCACTTTTCGATTCAATCGCTGACCTGTCTGCTCTTCTGTTTAGCTCTCCTTTGAGGAGGTTGTCCTGAAGGGTCTGGCCTCTGATGGCGGTCTCTTCATCCCCGAGGAGATCCCCTCCCTCTCCGCTAACTGGGAGTCCGAATGGCGCAATCTGAGCTTCGAGGAGATCGCCTTCCGTATCATGTCTCTCTACATCTCAGAGTCCGAAATCCCCCGCGACGACCTTCAAGACATCATCCGCCGCTCCTACGCCACCTTCCGTCACCCCGAACGCACTCCGACCATCGAACTTGACGGCAAGCAAAACCTCCACCTGCTCGAGCTCTTTCACGGCCCCACCTTCGCTTTTAAGGATGTCGCGCTCCAGTTCCTCGGTAACCTGTTCGAGTACTTCCTCGTGCGGAAGAACCAGGGCAAGGAGGGCAAGGACCGTCACCACCTGACTGTCGTGGGAGCCACCAGCGGTGACACCGGCTCCGCCGCCATCTATGGTCTGCGCGGCAAGAAGGACGTCTCCATCTTCATCATGTTCCCCAAGGGCAAGGTCTCCCCGATCCAGCAGGCCCAGATGACCACCGTGCTGGACGCTAACGTGCACAACCTCACTGTCGAGGGCTCCTTCGACGACTGCCAGGACTTTGTCAAGGCTCTGTTCGCCGACCCCGAGCTCAACTCCACCCACAACCTCGCGGCCGTGAACTCCATCAACTTCGCCCGCATCCTCGCCCAGATCTCCTACTACTTCTACTCCTACCTGTCCCTCACCAAGTCCCCCTCTTTCAACAAGGACTCCAAGCTGCGCTTCGTGGTCCCCTCCGGCAACTTCGGCGACATCCTCGCCGGCTGGTTCGCCAAGCGCATGGGTCTCCCCGCGGAGCGCCTGGTCATCGCGACCAACGAGAACGACATCTTGGACCGCTTCTTCCGCAGCAGCGGTGCCTACACCAAGAACGACGCCAACGGCACCGGCGTCAAGGAGACCCACAGTCCGGCCATGGACATCCTGGTCAGCAGCAACTTCGAGCGCCTCCTCTGGTTCCTCGCCTACCAGAGCAGCGACGCTGCCTCGGCCGACGCGCGCCGCAAGCAGGCTTGCGACAGCGTCAGCGGCTGGCTGCAGCAGCTCAAGACCGAGGGCGGCTTCCAGGTCTCGCCCGCCGTCTTCGCGGGCGCCCAGGCCGAGTTCGAGTCCGAGCGCGTCAGCAACGACGAGACCATCGCCCAGATCCGCGACACCTACCGCACCTCCTTCCCGGCCAACCTGGGCCCCGGCAGCGCCAAGAGCTCCAAGACCGGCGGCTACATCCTCGACCCCCACTCCGCTATCGGCGTCGCCGCTGCCCGCCGCTCCATCCAGCGCAACCCCGGCGCCGTCCACATCTCCCTCTCCACCGCCCACCCGGCCAAGTTCGCCAGCGCCGTGGACCTCGCCCTGCGCGCCGAGGACGGCTACGACTTCACCGAGGTCCTGCCCCAGGAGTTCATTGGCCTGGAGCAGCGCGAGAGCCGCGTCACCCCCGTCGGTCCCGGGGCTGGATGGGAGCAGGTCCGCGAGATCGTCAAAGCCGAGGTCGAGCAGGAGTTGGAGGGTAAGCGGTAGATCTTGCTTGCTCCTGTGCTAAACCATGAAGTATAAGAAAGAAAGATTTCTGTGTTTGCATGTTAAGACCATTTACTCCCAGTATCATATTTCCCTCTTGCGCATCATCCATCCTATATATACATTCATGACCAATTTCTTTCACCCGCTACCTGTGATATCATAAAAGCTATACAAAGAGACATGACAAGAATTCTTCCACATTTTGTAAGCATCCTTACTTTCGACTATCCCTTCCCTTGGATCCTATTCCCATTGTGTAGAGAGTGGGTGGTTAGGGAACCAGTTTATCTAAAAACTATACACAGATAAGAATAACTTATTCTTCTACCTTAACTAGCTCTGTGCTCTCCTCTGCCTCGATATCTCTATAACTTGAGTTACTCCTTTCTCCCTACATGTATTTGAAACCGTTGCCAAAGGTGATAAAGGTACCTAGTTCGACGAGATAAGCCAGTATTGGTATCTGTTTTCTTCTCCTCTATATAGACCTACCCTGTATACACTGTACCTACATCGTATTATCCCAGCTACAGAAAAGTCCTCTTCACATCTACTCTAAACTATAATTAGCTAAGGAATACTCTACCTGATATACTAATCATACTCTTTTCCTATTCACAGCTCCTTGATACAATATCTACTAGGAGATAGTTCTACTCAATAGCAACTTACCCTCTTACTCCTTTCTTTCCGAATCTACACACCTCTGCCTCTACTGTGATCAATTCCAGAATGATCCCCTTACTCAGATTTAGTGAAGTATAACTTATATAATTCATCACCCCCTAACTATACTGGCTTCCTCGTTCTATACATCATCAGCGCTTGTGGTTATGTCTATACTGATCCATTGATATTGAGAATTCCATGAAGTCTGACGAGCACTCAACCACTTTATCCATAAGTCATACACAGTGGGTGACAAGAGTGCCGAACTTGCAACTAGTTTCCAACAGGACCAGCTGGTTCCTGATAGTTCCAACTCGGTTGCTCGTGGTCCTATAAACTTGCTGGAAAGCACCTCCATATCCCATAGATCTACACATAGTTGCGAGTGGCTGTATCCAGGTAGGTAGGTTGTCTTTTCCCACACCCCTTTGCCCTCATCCTCTGCCGATTGAAAACCAGTTCCAGTCTTACGACCTATCTACACACCACCTTTTGGACTCAGTACAATCGTCAGACCGAGTCTGCGACCAGCGTAGCCCCTTTCCCCAAGTATATCGTATCCGAAATCTAGCATCTGGAGAACATATGGATGATGCGGAAGGGTAGCCTGACGGGGGGGGGGAGTACTACTTACTGCCTGATCCATACGAGTAACAGGAGGAGGGATAGTACCCAGGGCATCACCGCGTCAGAGATTGTCATGGGGTGCAACTCATGCTGCTTGGATTTGCTGATCGTTCCCTATCGTGGGAACCTCTGTCAACCTGATATCATTGAGTTGCATTTGAGTCTTCAACTACTCAGATCAACCCGTAGTACCCACACACACACATCCCCTCTCGTCTCGGAGGTGGTTGTACTGGGTTGGGTAAAGGACTACGTAAGATGCAACCCCTTCCGTTTCCGGAATATATGATTACGCACTGCAAAGCGCGGCATCGGCTATGCAACAGGTTCTGACTATGATGAGGAAGAAGAGAAAAGAAAATGAGAAACCGAGAGGTACATCAAAGCTACATGAAAGAAGAAGTGAAAGCCTGAAACTTGTTTCCAAGAAAAGAAAAAGAGAAATGCCATTTTTATTCCACGTACCGTACTCGTTATATATTATTACTAAACTGGTAGGTAATAGCAACTGCCAATGAAAATCGATCAGGAGCGGAGCACAGTGTCTTTTGTCGCTCACACCAGTGAGTCTGGCTGTGTCTCGAGGCGTAGACCTGAGTCATAATCAAAGACAGTCCTTCCTTCATGACATAGGAAAAAACCAACGATGTAGCAAAAATTCCAAAACCGAACTCCAAGCACGATTTGTTTTGATTTGATAGTTTCTTCTTATGGTCAAAGGGAAGATGAATGGTTCTATCAATTCATTGCTGAAGATGGAGCAGTCATCTACAGAAGAACCATCAGACCCATGACAGCGGCGAGAAGACCGGCCACGGGCTGCATCTTGGAAGCAGCGCCCGTGAGGCTCGAGGTCGAAGGCTCCGCTGGGGAGGCACCGGTGGGCTGCTCGGGGGTCGAGGCGCCAGCAGGAGCAACAGGGCTGGAACCCTCAGGAGCGGCAGGGCTAGCAGGGCTGGAGCCCTCAGGGGCAGCAGGGCTAGAAGAGCCAGCAGCGCCAGGAGCACCGGGGGTAGAGGAGCCAGCAGCGCCAGGAGCGCCGGGGGTAGAGGAGCCAGCAGCGCCAGGAGCGCCGGGGGTGGAGGAGCCAGCAGCGCCAGGAGCGCCGGGGGTGGAGGAGCCAGCAGCGCCAGGAGCGCCGGGGGTGGAGGAGCCAGCAGCGCCAGGAGCACCAGGGGTGGAGGAGCCAGCAGCGCCAGGAGCGCCGGGGGTAGAGGAGCCAGCAGCGCCAGGAGCACCAGGGGTGGAGGAGCCAGCAGCGCCAGGAGCACCAGGGGTGGAGGAGCCAGCAGCGCCAGGAG